CCTGCCTCTGCCAAGTGGCAGCTGGTTCAGGACTGGCATGGATCAGAAGCTGAGGGTGGCCCTGTCACAGCCCCAGCTGGCCAGTCCCCTTCTCCACACATACTCACTTTTGGAATAAAGGGCCCTGCCCCAGGGTATCTGTGATCCTTCTAGCTATGACATTAGACAGTTCTGAGGGTTTTGAAGGCATAAACCTTGGTGGTCATTTTGAGAACTCTTGTATTTTCCTTTGGTGACGATGTGGACTCCGAAGTGTGCAGAACCCCCTCCCTGGGCACATCCTGTTAGGGGCACCCAGCAGCCTGTAGGCACTGGGCAGGAGTAGGCCCTGGTCTCTGTCAAGAGATTGGTGCTGGAAATGTGGGCAATGGCCTTGGAGGGAGAGCCATGGAGTTCTGGGGCTGGGGACCTGGGGGCCCCAGCACAGGGACCAAGTCCCACTGGGTGCCAAGGATGCAGGCTGCATGCCTCACACCTCCCAGCAGCCCTGCCTGGGGCCTGCGGTCTTGAGTGTTTGTGCACGTGTCAGGAGGCCACAGCCTTCCTTCACCTGTGAAGGCCGGTGTGCAGACAGGGGCTGTGCAGCTAACCCTGGGGCAGAGATAGACCAGCCCACACCAGCACCTGTGCACAGAGATCCCCGAGCCCAGGGGCTGACGGAGCCCATCCCTGTGGGGGATGCTGCTGATGGTCACCTGATGAGATAAAGGTGCTGTGGTGCCCCCACCCATCCTGCTTGGGCCTGGGCTCTGGTGGAAGCCTGCGACCTGAGAAGGGACCCAGGGCCCTGGGGATCTGCAGGTGGATGGGATGGCATTGGCAAGGACACCCTGATAGGAGAGTAGTGGTGGGCATGGCTCTAACTTGGGGGCCCCGGGACTCGGGGGACGGAGGTAAAGGTCCCCTCCCAGAGGGGTTCCGGTCATGAGTGGAATCCAAGGGCACATTATGGTTCCAGGCCTGGAGAGTAGGTTCTGATAATCCTACCCTCCTCCCTGAGCCCTGGAGGCAACAGTTAGCCCTCGCGCCATCTGGCCGTGGACAGACAGAGCCAGGGACTCACAGGAAGTCTTTGCCAATAGCAAGTGTTTGAGAAAGGCAAATAAATAAATAAATAAATAAATAAATAAATAAATAAATAAATAAATAAATAAATAAATAAATAAATAAATAATAAATAGAGGACTTTGAGCCCAAGGCCGGCTAGCATAGGCAGCCCTGGTGTGCAAGGTGGGGCTGTGTCCTGCCCTCTCGAGGCTCGCTGGCTGGGTGACCATGTGACCCGCTGGCAGTTGGACCCTGAGTGCCCTGGGTGTGCTCAGCTCACCCTTGGTGGCTGCTTTGGTGTCTCGTGTCCTGCAGCCGTGAAATGAGGGGTGTGGAGCGCCGCCATCCCCGATCCACAGGGGCCCCAGGTAGCTGACTTTCCCAGTGACTGTGCAAAGTGCTTCTGGGGGTGGCAGAGGTCACCCTGGTGTCGCTGGTGGACACGTCGCCCCTGGCCGTGGAAACGTTTGGCTCCTTAGCCCACCACTTGTAAGATTTGTCTCTGGGTCCTCTGCATCCTGGTCGGGGCCGCTCACTCCTGCACGGGCTCATCGGGAGACCCCTTGGTGGGTCCCTGCTATGCTTCTGTATTTGGGGGTCACTGCTGTGGCTCCTACATTTCTTTCCTGGGTCCTGGTGCTGCCTTGTGGGGACTTGGCACCTGGAGCTCAGCCACCTCAGTGCTAGGACCCTGTGTGTCCCTGAGCCTCACTGCCGGGGGGGGTCTGGGAAGTGCGGTTTTCAGCTCCCCAGGCTCTGCAAGGTGGGAAGGCACGGGAGCCTGAGTGGGACCAGGGTGCCTGCTGCTCCCAGAATGCGGTGGCCCGGGTGTGGTGAGCATGGCGTGGTCTCATCCTGGTGGCCTGCTTTGCACACTTGGGTCGGGTGTGGGGGCTGCATGGCTGGTTCCCTCTCTGTCTCCACCGGCGGCTGGGACATGCAGGGGTGCTGCCCACCTGGCTGTCATGGAGGGAAGAGGAGGGAGGGCTTGCTGCTTTTCCAGGGAATGTACCAGGGCAGTCTTTGTTGCCAGGGATCCTCTCACCAGCCTTGGCAACCTCCTCCCTGGTGGGGTAACCTCAAGACCTCCTCCCTGGTGGGGTGACATGGGGCTCAAACCCAGGAGCACCTGTCCCCCAAACCAGCGCTACTCCCAGCACCATCCTCATCCTGACAGAGGCTCCAAGGGCCCTGGTTTCTCAAGAAACCTCCTTTTGAAGGGGAGGCTCCTATGTCAGTGGGAAGGAGAGTCCACGGAAGTCCTGTCCTGCCAGATGCCTCCCAGGCCCTTCCCATACCTTCCATAAAACTTGAAGATTTTTTTTAGCTCTGGCACAGGGAGCCCCTGGCCAGCAGGAGGGGTGGCCTTTTCAATTTGTTTAGCAGAGGCCTGTAAATATGTTCCTGAGGCTTCTGGAAAACAGCTCTCTCCCATCAACAATTGAGAAAACAGGTTTGCAGGCTGCCCATCTGGGAAGAGCATCACCAGCTAGTGGGACGGGAGCCCAAGAAACCCCAGCCGCGATCTGTGATCTCTCCCCTTGGCTGCTGCCCGTCTTGGAACTGAGTCTCAGAGATGAGCCAGAGCTTGGTGCCGTGTCGCTGTGGCAGGTGAGCCAGCGGCTGGCATGGCCCATCTCTTCCCACGGGCCGTGTCCAGGCCTGGGCTCTGCTGGGATCTGCATGGATGTCGAGTGGACAGGCACACTGTGAGGGCTGTGGGGAGCCTGTGGGCTGGGGGCAGGGGTCACCGGTGCCACACCAATGCTGGGGGGGGAGCTGACTATGCGGTGTGAGGTCTGGGCCCTGGGTAGGAGCCCAGAGCCACCCAGGAAAATCACAGAGGCCACAAGAAGCAGTGATTCTATCCACGAGTAGAGGTCCTGGGTCCCCACGCTGTCCCCTCCTTAAGGGTTCCCTCCCATCCTCATATTCCCTCGGTTGCAGTGACAGGTCTGCAGCCAAGCTGAGCTGTGGAAGTGACTCCGCTGGGGGCAGAGCTCTGGGATCTGGGTGCCCTGGTGCCTTGCAGGGAACCGTGGGCGGGGGTGCATTTCGTGGTGAAGGAAAGCATCCCCATGTTCTTGGAGCCAGGCCCAGGAGGCTGTCCCGCCCATCCCAGCGCGTCACCGTGTGGCACTGGCACCTGCCAGGGCACCATCCACTGCCCTGAACGCCATGGACCCTTGCGGGCATGGGGTCTCTGTCAGGGCCTTGCTGGACAAGCAGTGGGGGTGCACAGCTTCGGGGTCCCCACATGCCCCCACTCTCTGCCCCCGATGGTTATGCTGAGCTCCAGGTGTAGCAGCTGGCTGCAGGATTCCCGGGACCCGCAAAGGGGAAACCGATACTGTGGCGGGAGGGGTTGTTTCTCACCTCAAATCCTCCACCCATGTTAGACAAGCAAGGCTTTCCTCTTGAGCGAGTCTCAGGCATGTAGTCACCCCTCTGGGGAGGAAGGAGGGTGAGCCAGTGAGCTGGAGAGCCTGTGCCAGTCTTGCGGTCGCCCCCCGCACTGGGTGCTCATTTTATAGTAGCAGGTGTTGAGTCTAAGCCAAGCTGCCCTAAATGTAGGGAGGAACGTGCTGGCTAACGTAGAGGTTCGTTCTTCAGGCACGGCTTGATCCAGGGGTGCGAGCTCTGTGGCAGGAGCCCGTCTCTCTCTCTCCCAGGAGAGGGCTGCCTGCAGCTCCCCATTCATAGTCCATGTGCGGGACCAGCAGAGCAGAGAGGATTGCTCTTTCCTGGAGGAAGAGGCCCAGGATGGAGCCCTGTGGGGCCTGGGCCACTTACGGGCTACCTGGGCACCAACCACGTGGGATGGGAGGTGCTGTGCCCTGATTTGCCCGGTGGAGCTGGAGCTCACATACCCAGTGGTGGGGGCGGGACCAGTCATCAGCCCCACCCACACCCCCGCAGACAGGTGGGTGCTGGCCCCTGGGCTCCCCAAAACCCCAGGGCAGTACCTGCTGCTCACAGGGCCTGTCACTCCAACTCCCAAGTTGGGGTTTATTTTCTCTGCTGGAATGACTGGGGCTTCTTGTCTGTAGTAATGGGAGCTGAGCTTTTCCCCATGAAATGGCCTTTGTTTAGGGCAGGTGTGTGGATCCCAGGCCTGTAGTTTTCAGAGCCTGGAGGTCCTCGCTCTCCCCACTGTGAAGGAGGGAGCCAGGGGCACGGGGAGGCTGTCTCGTCTCTTGCTGAAGGAAGTGCCCTGGCGGAATGCCGTTGGAATGCCCTTGGGAGCTGCTGCCCTGCCCCCCATGGAGGGTTCGGAACTTTCTGGAAGGGATGCAGGGACCTGCTCCTCCCATGTCCTTGGTTCTGCACTGTCTTGCTTGTAAGCATAGGTCTTCTAGGGGAAGTGGAAACTGGCTCTTTGCTATAAACAGTTATGGGAAAAATCACCTTTTAATTGGATAATGATGGGGGGTCGCGTGGGCTCTGCGGGCTCTGTGTCCTAGTCACACAGGATGTGCTGACCCCGGGACCCATACAGCAGAACCCACGAGCCATCAGTGCCCCTGCTCCAGAAGACCTTCTTCCAGGGTCGCTCCCATCAGCAGTGGGGTCCTCGCGGCTTGCGTTCGGGGCGGCTTTCCCACAACCGGGCCAGGGGAGGGTGACTGGGAGCAGGCGTTGGACAGCACCGGCCAGCGGAGGATGCAGAGTGGAGGGGCCGTATCTGCAAAGTTGGGGTGGGGGCGGCCGTGGGCTGTTGCCAGCAGGGGTCTCCTCCTGGTGTGTGGCTGTGGTGGGAGCTGGGCCAGAGTGCGGTTCTGGGGACCCCGATGTGTGCCGCCCCATGCCCCCGAGCGCCTGGCCCCTCGGTTGGTCCTGAGCTGGTTCCCATTCTCCTAATCTGTCCGGGTGCTCCTGGGTGGGCGGCAGGTGCCGTGTGGTGCTCCTCACCTCACCCATAGCTAACCCCCCACCTCCCATTGCCATTTCAGCTCAGCCAGCGGATCTCCTGAAGGTCCTAGATTTTCACAACTTGCCTGATGGAATAACAAAGACAACAGGTTTCTGTGCTACGCGGAGATCTTCCAAAGGCCCAGACGTCGCTTACAGAGTCACGAAAGATGCCCAGCTCAGCGCGCCCACCAAGCAGTTGTATCCTGGTAAGAGACGTGTGTGTGTGTTCAGGCAGGTGGGTGGTGGGTGGTGGGGACAGGTGTGCATGTTCTGTTGGAGGCAATGGCTCTACCTCCCACCTCCAGCCAGGCGCAGAGCTGGAAGACTGTATGGTGGGAGAGGCACGCGTGGTTTTGCTGGAAGCTCTTCTAAGGAGGCTGGTTTGGTGTCATTCTAGTGAAAATGGCCCAGTGGATATCACCCCCCCCCCCCCGAGGTGGGCATGTGAGGCCTCATCTATTCCCCTGGCTTTTCCCAGGCAGGTGTATCTCCAGCTGTAGACAGGCTGCCAGGACTCCAAATGCAAAAAGGTGATGCATGGTTCTGCTGTGATGAGGTTGAGAGAGACCTGGGGTCATGGGAAAGGAAGTGCTCCCACACAGAGGCTTAATTGGGGCAGTGACATTAAGAGACACATGAATCACACGTTGGGGCTCCCAGCAAGAGGGTGCAAGCTTTTAATGAGAAGCAACTGCCAAGGGCCAGATCTCTGCTTTTAATTACGTGCCCGGAGTGGGGGGCAATGTTGGCTGCTAAGATGCAGTGCCTGGTTGTCCCCGTTGACTGGCTGTGGACGCTCTGTGACACCCCCTCCCCATACCCCGACCCCCTCAGGGCTTATCTGAATGTGAGTAATAGCCAATGATTGATCACCTCTCACCTCTGCCTTAAATGAGCTTGTTCTGGTTTAGATCAGAAAGGGAGCAGGGGACCAGGCAGGTATGCTCACCTTCGGAGATGTTCTGTAATTAGTGGAAGACCTGGCTGTGACCCCGACCTGTGACCCCGACGTTGGGCGGTAGCGGCGTCTCTGTGCTCCCACATCCCCACGGGGTCCCCAAGGACACACTCTTTCGGGGCAGTTTATTTGCTTCCGATGCCCCTTGCACTCAGCCAGGCTTTATTTAATTTTTTGAAAGATTTCATTTATTTATTCGAGAGAGAGAGAGAGTGTGAGATTGAGCAGAGGAGGGGTAGAGGGAGAGGGGGAGGGAGAAGCAGACTCCCTGTGGACTCAATCTCAGGACCCCGGATCAGGACCCGAGTGGAAGGCTGATGCTTCACCCCCTGAGCCGCCCAGGTACCCATCAGCTTGCTTTTAGTCCATGGGGCCCTTAGGAGTCTGTTTCCGAGAGATGCCGGGTCGGCCCTTTCCAAGAAGGTCACTGGGGGATACCCTCATTTGGGTAGATGAGGTCAGTGGGGGGCCCAGGTCGCCTCTGGACCTCTCAGGAGTGTATTTCTGCATGCCCAGCCGCCCTGGGCTGCAGACAAGGTCACTCCCCGCAGATCGCCTCCATTCTCCACGTCCCCAGAACACTTCCTCCCCTTTGGGGCTGAGCCTATGTTCCAGAATCATCCGCCAGGTGCCTGCTCTCATTTCTGTCTGGAAGCTGCCCATGTCCTGCCCCACATTCCCCATCCCAGAGAGAGGGCATCTCAGAGAAGGGCTCCGGGGGGGGGGCGGCTGCTTATCTCAAGGCAAGAAATTGCATGATCTCAGGAGATAGACTCATCACTGGGGATCTAGTCTGGATCCCTCAGCAGGCAGACAGGATGTAGGTTTGAAGCCTTCATTCTCCCTGAGCTCTCAAATCAGTGACTCAATTAGACACTGAGCGTGTAAACACACTGGCAGGGTCTTCTGGTCACAATTAGCGTGTGGAGCAGAATGGGTCCCGGCACAGCCAGTGCCTCGTCCAAGCCACATAAAGCTGGAGGTCACCGCGGGCTGATCTGACTAGGAATTTCTACGGGGTCCCCTCTCCAAACCCCACAGTGAGTCCTCAAAAGCTGCCAGGGGTGTGCCTCCAGGTCAGGGTGGTATGATGTGGCCTCAGGTGTGAGGAGGCACACAGCTTCTGTCCCTTCTCTCTGGGAGCCTCTGAGGGAGCCGGATGCCTGTCGGCCTCCTCACTGTGGGGCCCGTCTCCCGGGGCCAGGGTGGCGCGGCTGCACCTTAGCAGCCTGTGTCTCCTGGAAGGGGTGCGTGGTCAGGTGGCTGCTCGCTGCAAGGCCGGGGCACGATGGCCTGAGCTGAGCATGAACGTCTCTGAACGACTCTTTGAGCAAAGGGAAGTCCATGTCCAGGTGACTGTGGCCATGACAGGAAGACCTCAGAGTTGTCCAGTTGTTCTGGAGACACGGGGACCCCCTTCACAGGCTCACAGAGGAGTGCTCGGTGGCCAGGGCCAAGCAGCTCTTTGGGAGCCTTTGTAGGGCTTGCCCTACCTCCAGAGGGGTGCAGGTGGGCAGCTCAGTGCTGCCAGATGGAGACATGTGTCCTCCCTGATTCCAAGACAGCTTCCTCATCTTGCTTACAGCCAGTGGGCAGGTCCTGAGGTCAGTGGGACCCTGGAGCTCCCGTGCACCCATGGACCTTTCCAAACAGTTGGCCCTGGTGGCCCATAAGGATTAAGGCAGAGCCCAGAACTGTGATGCTTTGGGGGGAGAGCATGGCACTGCTTGCCTGGGGATCCCCTGGCCTTGCCACCCTCTGCCCAGGGGCAGGGGACATGGTGTCAAGGGAAGACGGGCCTGATACCCTAGGAGATGCCATCGTGGGCCCTCGAGAATGCAGGAAGCCATGTGTCCCATCAGGGCCTCCCCAGTTTCCTGGATGGGCATCTGCCCTGGGGCCCAGTACCAGGTGCTCCTGCAGCCATGGAACCGGCACGGCCACATCCTCACTGCCCCCTCTGAAGACTCCAGAACATGGCAGGCTTCCCCATGATCACAGGCTTCCTCTGTGATCTCCTCTGTTCTCGTGCTTCAGATTGGGGTCCTCTCTCCATTTTATCCTCTACCTGGCAACCTCATGGCCACAGAGATGCCCTTCATGTTCAGGACCTGAAGCAGGGGTGGGATGCGGCCACAACCCCCCCCCCCCTTAGGCCTTTGCCCCAGACCTTCCCTGCAGGTGGGCCTGGGCCACCACATCAGCTCCTGCCCAGTAGAACGTCCCATCCAGGAGCTGCTGGCTTATGGGACTCGGTTTATTTAACAGATGCTTTTATTAACTTCCTACTGTATACCCAAACTGCCCCAGTGCCCTTGAGCCTCAGCACAGTGAGAAGGAAATGACCTCAGGAAGCAATTGGGCCTCTGCCTGAACCTGCCTCTCTCCTCTATGACTTTGAGAAATCAAGTAGGAAGAGTGGGACCCAGACACAGATGTCTGGCCCAGATGGCCCAGATGGTGTGGGTCAGCATCCGGCTCACATCATGCCTGGCCTAGGCCATCTCTGGAGTGACAATTCAGCCACTGTTGTTTTGCTAGCAGGGAGATTCGTGTCAGACATAATGTACCCCCTCAGGCGCTCTGAGCTGAGATCTACCCCCAGGGATGTGTGAACCTTGGGTCGTGGCATCCTCACGAGCTGGAGAGAGTGGGCCGTGGCCGTCCCCAGGCCGTGCTCCATGCCAGGAAGGGGGCACCCCCTGTCTCTGCCCTTCTCTGTATTTAAGATGGGATGACAGCTGTAGGGTGTCTGAGCTGGGGATGGGGCAGGTGACCCTAGAGATGAGCGCTGCCCTTGATGTGAGCAGTGGCCTCCCCAGGGCCTCAGGTTGACAGCCCCCGCCGGGCCCTTTGGTGCCCTTTCACCCCCAGGGACCCAGTGGGGTCCCGAGGTCCTGCCCTGGCCTTGCTGCAGAGTCTCCCCTTTGGTGGTTCTGCTGGTGGCTTCTCTGACTCTGGTACATCCCCCATTTGGAGGATGGTGCAGAGCTGGTGGCTGTGACTGCTGATCTCTGCACACCTCTTCCCAAAGGCTTCCTGTCTATATGGAAGGGTGGCCTGGGTGGCTCCTCAGGGAAACCAGCCTGTCCCAGTGGAGGGAGAGGCCAGGGCACCCCAAGTGGCAGATGGACAGATGCAGCCTGAGCCCCGGGCAGGGGGCCCTGGGCCTCTCCCTGAGGGTGTCTGAGCTGGGGCTTTGGGGCTTGTGGGGCTGATTTTTCAGCGGCTTTCTTTCTCCCCCTTGGGACCTCACAGGAGTCCCTGAGCTGGCCTTGGAGGGCCAGTCGGTCTCCCTGTAGGGGGCAGCTTTGGCTTCTCTCGCCCTTGGCTCGCCCTGGCAGCCCTCCCCACCCTGGGTCCTGCAGAGGTCACAGAGGTCACACTGCCCCCTACCCCCACCCCCAGGGGAGCCTTAGGACGCCCTGGGCCTGGTGCCTGGGGACCCCCTGGTTCCCAGCATGTGCCCCTCCAGTGGGCAGCAGCCAAGGCCAGCTGCCTGGCCACATGGCACTTCTGTCAGCAGAGGGCGCCCAGGGATAGCGTCCCTGCTGGAAGCTGCAGGGACCCCAACTCTGTTGCCCCCCTGGCCTCTGCCTGGCTGCTTGACCTTGTGAACAGTGGGTCTGATAACAGGGTCACCCCTTCCCCAGGCCCATTAGCCCGGTTCACAGCCCCTCTAGAGTGAGGGTGCTCGTGCTGACGCCTCTCCGAGCACTGCTCCTCCGGGCAGGTTTGCAGAGCGTCTCCAGGTGGTGGCTCCCCTGTGGAGGGAGGGACTGGCCACGCTCTCCGCCCCCCACCCCCTCGCCACCTGGGCCCTGGGCAGAGCTGCTGTCCTCGCCAGGGGGATGGATGGGTGGGGGATAGGCTGGGATTTCCCGTGGTGGTGGCCGAGGTGGCGCGGCCGTGTGGGCAGGTCTGGGGTATGCACTCGGCGGGGTGGCCCGGGTCTGGCAGTTCATGACTTTGTGTTGTTTCTGTCTTGAGTTGTAAGGAGCATTGCCTGCCATTAACATACGGAGTTTGTCTTTTTTTTCTTCCTTTTTAAAATTTGGGTTGAAGTCTTTTGATTTTTTCCTACTTAAAAAAAAAAAAATTATTTGAGAGAGAGAGCACTAGCCAGGGGAAGGGGGCAGAGGGAGAAGGAGAAGCAGGGAGCCCCATGCAGGACTCGACCCCAGGACCCTGGGATCATGACCTGAGCTGAAGACAGATGCTTCACTGATTGAGCACCCCCCGTCGTCCTTCTTTCTACTTTTCTTCTGTTTTGTGTATCAGCCAGGAAATGTGGTCCCTGCCTCGGACCTTCCTCCCCTACTCTCTCTCCTGCTATTGAGCTATAGGAACTGAGGAGATGACACTCAGGGCTCACTGCTGGAAGGACCACTCAGGTTTGCACTTAAACTGCGCCTCCAAGAGGGTAGGCTTGGTCATGTGGTGCTAGGGAAGGGCTGCAGGAACAGTTTAATAAGGGGCAGGTGTGCAGTAGCAGATGGCTGTGCACCACCATATGTACCACAAGTTGCCAGGTCCCCGAGCTGGTTTGTCTGTGGAGCTGTGGCTGGGTGTAGTTAGAGCTTCCCGACTGACTTCTTATCTCTGTCTACCGTTACAGCGTCTTCATTTCCGGAGGATTTCTCCATTCTAACCACTGTGAAAGCCAAGAAAGGCAGCCAGGCCTTCCTGGTCTCCATCTACAACGAGCAGGGCATTCAGCAGATTGGCCTGGAAATGGGCCGCTCTCCGGTCTTCCTCTATGAGGACCACACAGGGAAACCAGGCCCAGAGGATTACCCCCTCTTCAGGGGCATCAACCTGTCGGATGGCAAGTAAGTGGGCACTGCTCAGTGACCCAGTCCTACTGCTCCTGGGGTTCTGGGCAGGCCAACTGAAACCTGCTGGCAGGTGAGGGACCTTATGGCAGGATGTGCTTTATGAAAAGCAGGATGGTGCCACCATGTCCATAGGCGGGCATCAAGCAGAGATGGGACTGGGCTCAAGTTCGGGGGGCCAGGGTCCTGGTCTTAGGACATACTCCCTGCCTTTCTTCTCCCTGGGCCTCTGCTTCCCCTTCAAATGCATTGAAGCATCTCAAACGCTAGACTCCTAGTCTCACAAGCGACATAAAAGATTGTGCAGTTGTATCCCTCTTCTTCTAGGGTACGGACCCATTGGATGTGTGGGCAAATGATTTAAAAAAAAAAAAGAAAAAGAAAAGTCTTTCCAGAATTTCTTTGTTGGGGATCTACCTAAATGCTGGGAGTATGAATGTCAGCTCTTTCACAGCTGACATATCTGAGGCCATGTGTGTGATCCTGGAAGCCCCTCAGGAGGTGGTTCCTTCCATCCATCCTTTCATCCTTCTATCCATCCATCCATCCTGCCATCCATCATCCATCCCGCCATCCATCCATCTATCCATCCTTCCTTCCATCCCACCACTTTCCAGCAAACCCCACCTTCTCCAGCCACCTGCAGCTCCCCACAAGGTTTTGGGGGGTTCACTGAGACAGAACCATGGGATACCCCCTGCTCTTGGCCTGCTGGCGAGCCTGCACTCAGGGTGGCCCCATGAGCTCCCAGGTCCAGACAGGTGAGCTTGTCTGGGAGGCGAGAGGTTGAAGGCCTCCATAGCCTGAGCGGGTCTCCCAGGGGTACGCCGTGTGGCTGGGATCTGCGCCCAACCTGGTCTGATGGCAGAGGCTCAGTTCAGAGCTGCCCAGCCCCACCACGACAGTGCAGGAAATAGTGGTTTGCTGCAGGTCACCTGCACTGGCGTTCTGGAACACAAGCCCCCTCACTCACCTGGGCCATTCCTTTGCAGGTGGCACAGGATCGCTCTCAGCATCCACAAGAAAAATGTCACCTTGATCTTGGACTGTAAAAAGAAGACCACCAAACCCCTGGACCGCAGTGATCACCCCATGATAGATGTCAATGGCATCATCGTGTTTGGCACCCGGATCCTAGATGAGGAAGTATTTGAGGTGAGGTGGAAGGGAGGCTGTCCCAGGGCCTCCTGGGATGTGCGCTGGTGAGTGGTCACTCCTGGATACAGCCACGATGGCTGCTGTTGGCTGCCTATCTCCTCCTCGGGGACAGCTGGCATTTCAACGTGGCCTCTGCCGCTGTCCCAAGAAGTGTTTGTAGCCTGTGGGAGTGCAGAGGCTACATGAGGACGGCAGGGTCCCCCCTCATCTGAGGAGTCCAGGCATGAGCTTGGCAAGGGCAGGGCTTTGGTGAGTGTGGCCCAGGGCTTGTAGACACATGTGGACTCCTGACTTCTGGTATCTGAGGGTCGTCCCGGAAAGGGGTCAGCTGCAGGTAGGGGGACAGTAGGCTGGAGCTGGGCTGGGGGTGGGAACCACCAGCCTTCGGAGGTGCCCTCCCTATGCCCTTGTGCAGCCTGGAAACTGGCTTCCCAGGGAAATGCCTCAGGGACGGGGAAGGGGGCTGAGCAGAGTGCACCTGGGAGCCCCCACTTCAACCTGCAGTTCTGCATTTGTCTCCTTTGAAGATTGGGGTTCAGCGTAAGACAGCATTATAGGACTCTGTCTTACCAGAAGGAGGTCACCTCTGCAGAGGACCAGTGGTTCCCAGATGCCCCAGGGGAGAGCCCTGGAATCACCTGGGGACCCTTGAAAGTTCAGATGCTTAGGCTTTGATCCTGAGGTTCCCAGGCCTCAGACCTGCAGCAGGGCCCTGGGATCTGCATTCAAGAAGGCTCTTCAGGTGGCCTGTGGCCCCTCTGGCTTGGGCGAGGTGACAGCCAGGACCCCTCCACTGGACTTCTTTCTTTTTCATATTCGGGCTCTCTGGAAGGAGATTTGGCTGCCCCCAGGGTACCATGGCTAAAGCGTCTTTGGAGACCACCACGCTGGATGGTATCTGAGGGCTGTCCCAGCTCTTGGATTTTATCCTTGGGGTCCCCAGGGACAGGAGGATGGTGCAGCATTTCCCCTTGACATTCCTGAGCGCCAGCATGTGCTCCCTGGAAGTGCACACCCCCTTGGCCATGTTTGGGAGGCCTGCCCTCTGCCCATCAGCCCTGTGCTCACACCTGACATGGGGTCTCAGATCTGTGCATCTCCTTGGTGAATTGAGACCTGTCCCAGGCTGGACAGGTGTTGAGTGGATCCCGGTGCTCTGTGGGGGCACCAGAGGGAGAGAGTGTGCACCCATGGTTCCCATTTCTATTCTAGTTATGGCGACGCCTCTGAAGGTTCCAGGGTCAGCTGGTGGGGATGTGGTCAGGCCATAGCTTTGCGCAGGTGAAGAATAACTTCCCAAAGTCTCATGTTTCTGAAAAGTCATCATGGGGCATGTGGTATGACCACGAGACATCTCAGGAGGGCGGCTGGCCCGGGCAGGCCCTCTCCTCTGTTGCATGCTGGATTTGGGGCCTCCAGCAAGTTGCTCTAGTACTTCTTAGCCTCAGCTTCCCCGTCTGTGCCGTGGGATCACGAGTGCACTGTGTCACATGGTTGTGGCTCACTGCGTCCCTCAGGGTAAGTGCTTGACAAGCGTTAGCTGCTGGGTTTGGATTTGAGATCAGCTCCAAGGCAGGTGGAAAGGCAGGACAGAGCCCAGTAGGTACGATGGACAAGTGAGGATCAGAACAGCCACAGCTCCCTGAAAACAGGGTGAGAGGGCTGCAAAGAGAAGGCTGGGAGCTGGTGCATGAAGGTGGGTCCAGGGTCTCCAGTGGGTGTGGCAGGCCTGGGTGTGGCAGGCCTCGGCGTGTCCGGGATGCAGGGCGGGATGGAGCCCGGAACCTGCTGGGGCTGCCACGTCCTGCAAGTTCTACAGATCCTCCCTCTGGGCACATTTCTGACCAGACTTGTCCAGAAACCTAGGATGAATTATTGCAGGATGGCTGGGGCTGTGAAAGCCACCTGGGGTGGCTTTGGGGCTCTCCTTGGGGAGCTGTCTTGGGGAGACAGAGGCAAGGGGTCACATAGGCTGGGATTGAGTTATCGCCGGTATAGATCCCTTGTGGGTGACAGGATCCAGGTGAAGCAGGGGACGTTGGTGAGCTTTAGGACTACCACCTGTATGATGTGGGGACCGGTAACAGCATTGCGAGGGATGTCGGGGGGCTCACTGGGGCCCATGTGTGAAGCCCATGTGTGACGGGGAGCCAGGGTCACTGCGGACATACTGCCCATGTTCCTGTTGATTCAAGTCCTGGATCCGGAGGCAGGAAGGTGTGCTGGGGCTGGGCCGTGGCATTGCGGGCTTGAATTAATTTCCTGCGTGGTTGCTTTTCTGTGCTGGGTGACATCTCTAATTTCTGGTGCCTCTTGAGTGCCCATGTGTGCCTGTTACTGTACAGATTCAGGAATAAGCTGTATCTAGCTTTATGAGAATCAGGATCCTACAGCAAATCTTGCTTCCCTGGTATTCTGACCGAGCCCGAAGGAGCTGTGTTCCCAGGAGCAGAAATACGGACACCGTGTTGCTGTAGGGAGGCACTGGGAGAGGTCGGGGTCCCAGTCCCTGCCGTACCGCTTACTGCTGCCGGATGTGGGGTGGGCTGCGTTCCCTGCCCCAGACTTGGGGTGCCCGTCTGCGACACAGGTCGGCGGTCATGTACACCCCGCAGGGCGTGGGAGAGACGCGGCACAGGCTTCTCACTGTGGCTGCGGATGGAGACTGCAGGTCGGGAATGCGTTGGGAAGGGCTGGCGTCCTGTCTGGGCCCAGGCGGCTGCCAGGAATGGGAGGTTTTGTGGATGGCGAGGTGTTCATGCTCTGTGGGAGCTGTTTTCCCAGACCCGGGCTTTCCTGGCTGTTAAGCCCGCTCACTGTGGAAAAGGTGACCTTTCTCTTGCAGCGGAGACCAGGGATAGGGGGGATGCGGTGGTGCCTCAGTGGCCTCGGAGCATTTTGTCTTGCTCTTCTCTTCCCGAAGTGGTGATGGATGGAGCTGGGTGCGTTGGGCTTCGAGGCCCACCCGCCCAGAGTCTCATGGCAAGGAAGGAAGAGGAATACTTTTTTTTTTTCTTTTGAAACAGAAGTGACTTCACTCTTTCCACCAGATTTCAAATAATGGCCTTCCCCATCTTCTCTTGGCTTCTCTAGAAGCTCTTCTGAACGGGGAAGGGGGGGTGGCACTGTTGAAAAATATTTCTCCAGCAGCCTTGTTCTTCCCCTGGAAGGATGCCTTCCCCTCTTTAGAAGCTGCTTTGTCCCACAGCTCCACAAGGGCCTGGGTGAGCAGGAAGGATCTGGGGTGCCCCGGGGAGTGCCCATCAGCACTGGCGCACACCCTAAGTACCATGCATGCACCCTGAGTACCTGAGTACTGTTCTCAGATGGAGGTTTATGAAACTCCAGGGAGCCTATTGGGGCACCAGGGGTTTTCCTGGGGTGCATGAGGCCCCACAGGGGCTGCCTTGTCCAAAGTGAAGTGCTGTCCGGGGTGCAAGGCTGGCACAGGGACCATTGGAGCCACGGTGAAGCCTTCCTCCCAGCAGTCACCTGGGGCTGCCCCACTGGATGGGGGACAGGACATCCTGGTCCCTCCGGAAGCCACCCCAGGAGGGAGGGAGATGCATACAAAGGTCCCACGGGCCTCGGGCCCCCTCCACTTCCTTTCTGGCTGATAACCAGGGGCCCTTTGCTAAACCTCTCCAAGCCCACGTTCTCATCTGGAAAATGGGTGAGTAGGCTAACGCTGTGGATGGAATCTGTGACATGCTGGCACCCCCCGGGCCACTGTAAACCTCGCTGACCCAGACCCTTGGTGGTCGGAGCCAAGGCCATCCTGAGGCCCCTTTGGCTCTTGGTCACTGTTCACCTGCCAGAGGCCTCACCAATGGTTGTGAGTCACACACACTGTCTATGTGGCAGCTTGGGGTCACTGCTGTCCCTTCCCTCCTCTTGTCCAGACTCAGCTTGCAGGTCCAGTGCCAGGACCCTGGCCTCAGAGATAAGGGTCTCCAGCTTGGCAGGCAGAGAGCCCATCTGGAAGGGCTGGCTGAGGGCATGTACACCTGAGCTGGGGTTAGCGCTCCTGGGCCCTGCCATCCCCGCCCCACTGGGGCATGAGCTGTGAGTGGCTGTCCTTGCCCCTACTCCCTCCCCGGCAGGGCCCGGCCCCTGCCCCCGGTCAGGCGGCCAGGCCATCCTAGGGGTGGGGTGGGGTGAGCCAGAGGGGCGCAGGCTGGCTGGCCTGGCTGCTGCCTTGCAGCCCGGCTCGCAGATCCCTGGCCACACGTTCTGAGGTGCAGAGCACACTCTGCAGGGCTGCTCTGGGGTGCTGGGCCACCACTGTATCCTGGGGCGTTGTGTGTCCCGTGTCTGTGTGCTGGGGTCCCGGGGCCTCACTCCTGCCCCCCTCCCTGGTGGACTGAGGGCCCACTGTGAGGGGAGGTCGGGACTGTTGGTCAGAAGTGGGGTCTGGCGGGCCTCCCCGTGCAGGAAAAAGTCTTGTTTTCCTCCAGGGCTTAGGAACGAGCTTTGTGTTTTTGGAAACATGAGCGAGAGTGCCAGGGAGAGTGAGTATATCTGGCAGGAGGTGGGAAGTGGTTGTTTTCCTTCCGTGGTGGAGCCAGGTGGGAGGCCAGCCAGGTCAGTGCTGGCCTGTGGGCCCGCGACCATACTCACCAAGTGCTCTGCCCTCCCATCAAGCCTTGCCACTCCTGGGATGCTGGCACCAGAGAGGACTAACAGCCTATGGAGGTTACCCAGCAAAGCTACAGGGGAGCAGGGCTGGGTCCCGGATCTGTGGTTGCCGGGAGCCTGACAGCCCTGCCCTGATGTCACGACGGCAGAGCGGGGTGCCACCCTCCCAGCAGCCCGTGCCTCTTTCTCTCCCCCTGACCAACGAAACTGGGACCTCAGAACCCTGGGTCCCCCCTTCCCCAGCCAGGGAATCCCAGGAGGCTCCCGATGATGATGCTGGTAGGAGCTTGTTCCCATGGGAACATCACACTGCCCTGACCTGTGGGGTCTGTGAAGGCCCAGAACCTTCCAGGAAGAGC